CTACCTGAAAATTTGTACTAAGGCGAAATGGGATTAATTTTATATAACGATTTTGACAGCTAAGGCGAAATGAGAACAAGCCACCGATTCTGATCGTTTTACCGGCAAGGGCTTAAAATGTCACAATATAAAATTCGGATGCCAATAGTTATAGAAAATAGAAAATTTTCTTTAAAAACTAGATAATTAGTTCATTTTGTTAATAATCAGTCAAGGAAGATTTCAGTTTCATTTTATTTTTCGTATTTGAATGAATAAACAGTGAATTCATGGTTCATATAATTAGCAAATTACACTTTAAAGTCATGTGTCGCGTCAAATATCTACAGAGCTTCTTTGTACTTATTTGCATTGACTTTTAATAGGGTCCTTTGACATACTTGATTTCTTCTGTAATTAGACTGAAATTGAAAATGAAGAATATATATCATTGACTATACCCGGATATGTTCCGGGTAATTATTTCCTGTGACTGCTGTCACGTTATAGATGACAGACATGTGCACCAATGAAAATTGGAAACACCAAATATATATTTAAAATCAATTTTTAACTAAAATATCTGCTATATTGGTAACTTGTAAAATCCTTTCAGAAATATAAAAAAAACCTTAATGTGTGGCTTCATCACTGAGACTTATGATAGCTTCTCATTAAAGATCATAAAAAAACAATCTATTGTTTCTCTTTTTCATATGTTATTTTTGTAACTGATATTCTTTGAAAAACGCAACAAAAAAAAATGATAGGAACTAAAGTTTGGCAATATTCTCTACACTTGATACTCTGTGGACCTACATTTGTCGTATCCCATATACAAGATACATCTCGGAGACACATATTTGATATCCTATGTGACCTATTCGGTGCCTACATTTGCAGCACCAATCAAGATATGATTGATTGTTGGTTGTTAATGTCCAGTGGCAAATATTTCATACATGCTTAGGACGATCTCATCATGATACAATCCGGACCTAAATTTGTAGCATCCCATGTGGTACTCTTCAGTATAAAATAATGAGATGTGGTATGATTGTCAATGAGAAAACTATCCACCAAAGACCAAATGTGTAGACTATAAGTCGCCGTACGGCCTTCAACAATGAAGAAAAGCCATACCGCGTAGCAAGCTATAAAAAGCATCGAAATAACAAAATAGAAAACAATTCAAATGAGAAAACAAACGGACAGGCATGCACTTGTGGCTCTCGCGTGGTACTCTCCAGGCCTGCGTGGGTAACCCTCACGTAGTATACTCCGAACCTAAATTTGCAGCACCCCTAATTTTATGGTAAAGTCAAGGTCTACATATGTAGCGGTGCACGTGAGAATTTCCTGGCCTACATTTGTAGCATCCCACGTATTACATCCCGGGCATACATTTGTAGCATCCCACGTATTACATTCCGGGCCTACATTTGTAGCATTCCACATATTACATTCCGGGCCTACTTTTGTAGCATTCCACGTATTACATCCCAGGCCTACATTTGTAGAATTCCACATATTACATTCCGGGCCTACTTTTGTAGCATTCCACGTATTACATTCCGGGCCTACATTTGCAGCACTCAACATGGTACATTCAGGGCCTACATTTGTAGCATTCCACATATTACATTCCGGGCCTACTTTTGTAGCATTCCACGTATAACATTCCGGGCATACATTTGCAGCACTCAACATGGTTCATTCAGGGCCTATATTAGTAGTATACAACCTGATACACTTCGGATCTACATTTGTAGCATCCTACAAGCGAAGCAATATATCCAGTGATATAAATTTTAAAAAATCGCACATAAAGAGATTGTCGCTTAAAGATCATGGTTAAGTTTCCTCTTATATATTCTGAGTCAATATTTTGAAAATTTAAAGAAAGATAAAAAAAAAAATTAAAACAAGCACAGAAAGAGCCATCCTAGGAGCTACTATCTACATCAGTGTTTCACTGGTTTGCTGCTTAATATGAAGAAAAAAAAACCTGTAAGATACCTATTTACACAAATAACAATAGACAAGTCTCTATGATAGTATGACAATCATTCCGAGTCAAGAAAAAAAAGTTATTAACTTTAGAAAACGCTATTGCAGCTTTCCTAAGACAAACATTTGAGATGACTATAGAAATAACCACTGACGACGAGGGTCCTGACTAAGTAGAATCGTGCTACTGTGACCTATAATTGTTTACTTTTTACACATTGTGACTTGGATGGAGAGTTGTCTCATTGGCACTCATACCACATCTTCTTATTTCTATTTTAACATTTTAAATTCCTATAATCGTGAAAGAAAAAACCTAGTGAAAGTTTTTACCAGTTCTATGTAGATACATTCAAAGCATGGTTAATAGTGTTTAAACTTTAGACACGAAAGCATAAATTAACGTTTTATAACAAGTGATTTTTAATAAATCAGAATACTGTAGTGCTAGGAAGAAATAAAAAGAATGTCATTCAAATGTCTTTCAATTTGAAATGTGAAGAACATCACTAGGAACAAAGGAAAAACTCACTTAGTCTTAACAGATACATATTATATCTATTCATAATTATAAAAAATCATTTTCATAAAATGCATCGTGACAAGTTTTATTCTGTCTTTGCTATTTGTTTGTTTTGTTTATTTTGTTCGTTTTAATAATATCATGTTTGTTATTGTTGCCTATTGACACTACAACACAGTAGTAAGATTAGTTTCTGCAATCCCCTACACTCGATCTAGAGTCATTCTCTCCACTATTCGAATGTCAAAGAAATTATATGGGCTAAATTTGAGACGAAGTATATATAAATTATGGTGTTAGTCCTGTGTCCGATGGAGAAAATCCTATAAGATATAGTCAGCTTTAGAAGGCCCGACTTAACAAAAAGTAAACTAACAAAAATACCGAACTCCAAGGAAAATTCAAAACGGAAAGTCTCATATCAAATTGCAAAATCAAAAGCTCAAACACATCAAACGAATGGAAAACAACTGTCATATTCCTGACTTGGTACAGGCATTTCCTTATGTAGAAAATGGTGAATTAAACCTGGTTTTATAGCTAGCTAAACCTTTCACTTGTAAAATGTGAATTTTCAAACGGCCTGATTTATGAAAAAAAAACAATAAACGAAAATCAAATATGACAGACATCGACCATTTGTTGCTCCAGACAAAATTACTGCTTCCATATAGGATAACGGATAGACGTGATAATGTATACACAAACTATATATACTAGTCAACAAAACAAACGATACAATGCAATGTATACACAAACTATATGTACTAGTCAACCAACGATACAAGGCAATGTATTTTCCATGTATAATAAAATTGGACACACTGTGCCAAGGTAAATAATTGCCCAATTGGTCTAATGTCTGCAGAGTGTTATTTTCTTATCAAAACCAGTGATTTAAGGCAAAAACGCGAATTTCTTTTTTTTTTGTTGCAATTTTTGTTATTTCAAAAATCGTATTTTCACCCAAAATCGATATTAGAACTTAAACTTTAAACTTAAACATGGTCTGCTTAAAATTTTGAAAGCCTTTGCAGATATTTGAATACTTAATTCTCATCTTCGAAATTAAGTGCCGACTTTTGTCATCATTTCCCGCAAAAATAAATTTGACCCCTGCGTTCAATAACACGGTATTTTCGCACTTTCCAATTTGGTCAGATTCTTTTAATCATATGCATTTGCTTTGCAAATGAATGTTTTTCGTTGGTTAATTTAAAAGTTTTTCCTATTTATTATATTTTATGATAAATTGGAGTTCAAACTTGTGTATCGTTACTTTTGTTGACTAGTATATTAAACTTTTCAATTTGCCGCCTATCGTCATTTATTCATGTTGTTACCAAGAAAATAAACAATCGAATTGATTTCATTTTGCGGCTGACACCGGAACGGTCCATATTTTCCGGAACACAGTGCTTCAAAATTGCACTTCAGACTCTCAAATTTCAAGTGGCATCAAACAATGGAGATGCAAAATCAACCCACACGTAGTTAAAGACGCGAAAAATAAGATATAAATAGAAAAGTTACAAGTGAGGTCGGAAACGAACTTTTCCAAATTTGAATGATCATTGATAAACCATTGACATTTTACGCTTTGTATTTCAGAATAAAAAAGAGACAAACAAAATGATGAATATCATAAAGACGAATGAATTAAGTTCATATTAAATTTAAAAAAAAAAAAAAAAAAAAAAAAAAAAAGGCGACAATCATTGTGCTGACCATTGCCACAACTAGGATTCAGACTTGGTTTTCATATTTGAATGCACAAGCATACCTTATTGAAAAACAAAGATAAAAATTAATCAACTTCCCTAATCGTAACCAATTCAAAATTTGTGATTTTCTTTTTCGCAAAAGATAGTTTCATGGTCATGATTTCGTTATGAGCCACAAATTTATTATTGCATAAACGTTATCTGTTATTGGAGTATTACTTAGAGTTTTACGTCTATGATCAACACTGTTTCGAATCTAGGTTCAATTTAGCCATGACATTGTCAGTTTATTTTCGACTTATGAGTTTGAATGTCCCTTTGGTATCCTTCGCCTCTTTTTCAAAGAACCGACGGTGATTCATCTGCGTTCTCTGGTTAGACGAATATGACGATAAAGGGGAAAAAGCGATCAGCCCACTTATGTAAAAAAAAGTGATAAAACTTTTGGCAATAATAAAGAATTAATGTCAGTTTACCTTAATGTCGTAAAAAATATATACGAAAAACAGATTCTAACTCTTGCAATATAATACTGCTCTACTCTGTGCCTCTATTCTCGACAGATAAAGTGAAACAAAATTCATGTCTGGTGAAGAAATATTGATATGTATCGCTATTGATGCATAACAAAAATCTGAATGTAACTTTTCCATTCCACTAATTTAACGGCTGTTTTCTTCAATCAGAAGCATACACTCTACAGTGACCACTGTACTGAATGATACGATGAATACAGGGATAATTGGGCTTGAATTAACTACTAGCAATTTTTATTATTTTATTTACAAAATAAAATTTTGAAAAAATCAACAAGAAGAACGATGGAATCGTCCTCGAATTAACAGTATATTACAGTGGCAGTGTTAATTTCATTTTTACATAATATGTACATAATATATATGAGCAACAAAAATCACAGATTCAGATCTCCTCCCTTGGCATACAACACTAACATCTCTTATTCTTCAAAAATGTCTCACTATCACACATGCAAATATAATAAGGCATAAAGTACCGGAATTAACATGTCGCCTGACAGTTTATCATGCGACAAAAACAATTGCACTCTTCGTCGACCCTTTTGTTCATTATAAATGAGATTTATAAAATGTTTTTTGTTCATTACCAAGCAATAAAGCGATTCATATAACAGTGTGTAAAGGATAATGAAAACATGTTCTTGGTAACTTGTATTAAGTAAATATTGTTTTGTCACTGTTTTAATGTTTGTGACCCCTGGACGCTGAACACATCTGTGTGGAAATACTTCATTTGTTTTAATATGCGATTTGATGTTTAATGGTCATTCCCCTTTTAGGGTCGTATTGTCTGTATTTTTTAGGTACTTTGGCCCAGTTAAACCTGTAGATAAGTCTAGTACCTTCTTGTCTGCTCATAAACCCGCTTTTGTAGTAATGTCTGAAATGAGGAAATAACATTTCATGATTACATAACAATATCAAAACTAATTTAATAATACTTATTGGTTCTGACAGAATTAAGTGTTTTCTTTCAGGTAGATGGTTTCGATATTTTTTCAAATATTTCCAGGTATTTCAAGAACAGACCCTAATCTATTGTATATTGTCTGTTAGGAAATAAATAATTTCCGGCGACGGATAGAATTTTATCCCTTTCCTTTGGTTATATAATGGCGTCATGTTTTCTTGTATAATATTTGATAAATCTTCTGAAGTTTGCTTTGTATTATATTTGCAACAATCATGCAAATTTCCTTAATTTCTTGTGATAGTTTCCATTTGTTTTCTTCGGCAATATTTCTTAGAAATGTTTTGAATTTGATAGATTACGTGACGTAGGAAGTAACGTACCTAATTCCCCTGCTGAGCTTTTCAAAGTTCATATCATCTTTTCTCTTCATGTTTCCCCACAGCCTGCTGATCTCACTTGTGTCGACAAATCGGAAAGTTCCCTGGGATATATCGGTCCATTCCACGTGTTTACCCTTTTTTAATTCTTCCAGTAAGAATTTCCACAACAAAACGTTCTTAGCACCTGAAAGTAATTACCATAATATGTATATCTTTCATACAGAAAATAAGATATATTTATTCACTTTGCAACTCACCAATATATTTATGTTTGTATTGTGTTTATTGTAAACTTATTCTGAAATAATTAAAAGAAATACTGAAACATGAAAAAAAGCTAAATGAATGGAAAATGCTTCGAGAATTGATGCAATATTGTTTCCACCTTGCATCAAATAACTCTAATGTAAAGTTCCGTTATTACGGTAAGTTAAGTTTATATTGAAAACGTCTCCTTACATAACCAGAAACTGTTCAAATAAATGAAAAAAAGATCTACATTGGTTTGACAGCATTCCAACAATATAATAAAACAAAGACATTACTGTACCTCGTTTCCCTTTCCTACAAATACTGCTACTTTCTTCGTCGTCCTCAGAGTCAGACATTACATTACTCAGTCTATTTACATTATTGGAACATGTGGAATGACGATTTCCTTTGAATAAAGTTTCAAAGGCCGGTAAATTGTTACTTTGTTGTGGTTTACACAGTTGCTGATAAGGAGCACTAAGCGATTGTTGAAACTGTTCAGTATGTGAATACTTTTCTTCCACATCTCTTTCGTAAAATTCTATCAATTCCATCTCTGCTGGATCAAGTATTACTGAAATATGAAGAAAACAATATATATAAAATTATATTTAAAAGTTTCAAAGAGAAAATCCTAGAGTGATCAAAATATGATTAATTCCAAATACGTCTTTATTGAAAAGTTTTGTTATTTGGAGAATTTAGTGTTGATGATCGATCTTTGATTGTTTCTCTTTAATTCATTTACAAACTTTGTAGAACCGGGCCGATTTAGAGTTTGACATATTGTACAGACACCTGTCTATTGTGGAAGACTGTGTGTTGACCTGTAGAATATGACATATTGTACAGACACCTGTCTATTGTGGAAGACTGTGTGTTGACCTGTAAAGTATGACATATTGTACAGACACCTGTCTATTGTGGAAGACTGTGTGTTGACCTGTAGAGTGTGACATATTGTACAGACACCTGTCTATTGCGGAAGACTGTGTGTTGACCTGTAGAGTATGACATATTGTACAGACACCTGTCTATTGCGGAAGACTGTGTGTTGACCTGTAGAGTATGACATATTGTACAGACACCTGTCTATTGCGGAAGACTGTGTGTTGACCTGTAGAGTATGACATATTGTACAGACACCTGTCTATTGCGGAAGACTGTGTGTTGCTCTCCAGGTGTCTAATGGTTATATTTGTACAATAGAATCTACCACTGCATCAAGTGAGGTGCGAGAATATTCCCCTCAATAGAGGTAGATAATAATATTTTAAGAAGCGAGACTTGTCGAATATTCAAAATATCTTAAAGTTTAGCTGTCAAGAATGGAATGAAATACATTCCACTAAATTTTACATAGAAAATTAAAGATTGGACAAATCACACTGCAATTTACGAAGAGTCCCATACTTTGAGGTCCGAGGTCCCAAAAATAAAATCTTACCACTAGAATCATCTGATTCATGACTATCGTCTAAATCTGAGCTTCCAGGGCAAGTCATTGTTGTATAATGGTAATCTGTTCCGCTCAACATAAACTGACCATTCATCGGCCTCATAGGATAGTCCAGAGGATCTGTAAAATTGAAAAAAAATTACAATAGAGGGTCCCCAGGGGATATTCCAAAGGATCTGTAAAATACATAACTGTTACAATCGAGATTAATACAAAGACAGCAACTCACCCACACAAAAAACAAACAATTATAAGACATGTAGAGGTCTACAAACTTCCTTCGTAAATAGAATAAATGTCTATGCAATATGTCAGGCAATTATTAGCCAGGAGTGTAGAAATGAAGTATGTAAATATAAAAGGGACTATCAAAGATCCGCCATTAAAACAAAATTACCTTAATGATAAAAACATAAGACATGACGAACGGCAACAAATGGAATAGCATATGATAACCAAAAAGAACAAAAAACAAAATTAGTGCAGAAAAAACCGGTTTACTCTATAAAACCGACGTACAGGATGTAAACAAAAACACAAATACAAATAAACAATACTAATACGATACTGTATGAGACAACTCAGGGTTTTTCAAAAAACGCCTAAAATATCATTTTAAAGATTTAATGATAAAATTAAACTGCAAAATTATTTTAAACAATTGCTAGGAGTGCTGTGATATTTTATCATTTGTTAATCAGCTATTAATTACCTGTGTAGATATATGGTCCATTATTGTTGGGGTCATACGATGAGTACAAACTGTCATCGCCAGCCCATTCAGACTCGTGATAATTCTGCAAAACACTCAAACTTCTCTGAAACAAATAAAAATAGGAAAACCGTGAACGAAGTTGTAGTAGTTTTTATATTCTTAATCAAAGATTGAAAAGAAAATGTTTTCGATGAATTGATTATAACCCTCATGCAAACGCCTATGAAGGTCCAACATTGAACGCTATGTACACTTTTGTTCTGGTGGACAATGTAAAATTAGGAGATGTGGTATGATTGCCAATGAGACAACTATCCAACAATGCAAACTAAGCGAGATTAAGCACTGAACTACAGATCTCCGTCCGGCCTTCGACAGTGAGCAAAACCAGTACTGTATAGTCAGCTATAAAAGGCTCGACCATGACAAAACGTGAAACTATTTAAACGAAAAAAACAACGGCCAGATTTATGACAAAAAGCGACCAGTGTTTAACATAATTAGGCACAGCTGCTTAAAAAAAGATGCCAGGATCTAATCCGCCCGATAAGTGCAGTAAAACTTTTTGCTCTAGAAATTACGCTACCACCCTTTTAAAACACTTAGGAAGAGACACAGAAAAGGATAAAAAAAAGTTCTTTTCCTTTGTAATAAATCACAATGTAAATGTTTGACTAACTAACAAATCATAATAAGATAAGATCTGGAACAGGCACGTGTCTGAAGTCGGAATGCAGAAGTGTGAAACCTTATCAACATGAGTAGGAAAAAAGATAACTACCCTGGATGATTGTTATACATGGGGGTATGGTACTTGTTTACAAAGTCATAGACAGATAAAGATGTCAACTTTGTCAAGATAACACCAAGTAATAAAAGCCTAGATTGTTACTGATATCTTATCTTGTTTGTGTACTCTTCTGTCATAGTTTGTAAATACAGTGAAATGGAATACGACGCGTCCTCATTTCCTTATGTTTTCGTTTGGTTTCTCAATATAAAAATATTTAGAAGACCGAGTTGTTTTCTCTCCATATTTAAGACTTAAGTGACACTACCGCACACATCATGATTTACGGATGGTACATACTATGTATATTCAGACACATTTACAAGGAAGCACGTTTTAATAAATCATATGTACTTTTATATTATCATTATTTAAACAGCAAAAATTAAACCATAATTATTGAAATTTTAGGGGAAAACAAATTACGTATATTTACAGGAACCAACATTTTTTTAACTGAATAATAAAATTTTGCTTACAATTATGTTGTCAATTTTTTCAAATCAATTCCATTAATACTTCATAAATATAATGATGAAAACTCATCCAAAATATCAATCTTATAATTCTGTACGAACCAAGAACCGCCATTTCGTCTACATAAGACTCAAGGCTAAAATCAAAACAGCTGAAAGGCCACATTAAATACAAAGTTAAAGAGCATTGAAACCCAAAGATTCTAAATATTTGTGCCAAATACAGCTTAGGTGACCTTTGACTGGGAGTAGAAAACCTTACGAATCATCAACATTTCATTTATAAACAGTACAGAAAGCATCTTTATGTGAAATAAATATAACCCTGCTTAGTACAAGACCGCCACGTTATTTTTTTTAACTTGGTAGTTCACAAAGTAATAGTCTGCAGACAGACAATGCCACCCTATTCGAATAAATTATTTTGACTCTGAACAGACCATTCTTTTGTACTGTACCGGGTCGGGAATGTGACAGTTGTTTTCCATTCGTTTGATGTGTTTGAGCTTTTAATTTTGCCATTTGATAAATGATTTTCCGTTTTGAATTTTTTTTGGAGTTCGGTATTTTTGTTATTTTACCTTTTTGCTTACTTCAATGATGCATACTTAGCAGAGAATCAGTAAATACCAATTCCCAAGTCTGGCTTAATACAGCTCGGGAATACCTATCTTCGGAACTGAATGGAAGCGAGCACACCGAGTTGGTCAATAAAGAACGACATGACAGATATGACCAGTGAAGCTAAAAGATTAAAGTTAAACAAAGCATAAAACTCACAAAACAATATAAAAGACAGATACAAGCCCAATTTTGAACCTAACTTTTCTGTGACAACGGGATAAAAGACTGATACTGGCTCAATGTTTGGACCTAACACGTGTTTGGCGAGGTGTATATTGTAGGCAGACTGTTGCGGCAAAGTTTCACGAGGACAGAACAAAAACAGGAGAGATAAAATAATCAGACATAAACTATCTTTGTTTCAAAATAAAATGCCATCATTTGTAAAATTAAGCAAATACCAATATACAAAAATATCGACTTACTTGTAAATCCATATCTGATATCATTGGCTTGACCTGCAACAATGAAACAAAATGTTAGAAACCTCAAGGTACTTGACAGTACTTGAAACAGACAATGGCACTTGTAATGTTAATTCATAATAAAGCGGAATTAAGGAGGAAATGACTAACAATTTATACAAATATGAACATTTACATGCTATGCAGGTTTTTCGCAAAAATCAGCGGATATGGTTTAATTATACAATCTACAACATTTGTTCTGTTCCATAATTTATTTTATTTATAATTTAGCATTTTTAACAATTACACGATCCAATAATAGTCAGAAAAAAAATTTAGTTGTTGTTGTAAGATCAAATTCTAGTTAATAGAAAATCTTTGGTGGACCATTTAGTATCTCTTACATTACATGTAAAAACCGTGCATACATTCCTGTACCCATAATATCATTGCACGTAAAAGGAATAAATATTGTCAACATTTTCAATTCTTAATCAAGAAATTCCACGTGGATTCGTGTTTAACAAAATAATTACATGAATCAGGAACAATTACTTTTGCCAACTGAATTAAACACAATTTAAGTAATACTATATGAGTTCATGAAAATAGCTGATTTTGGACCCAGAGATTTGTTATGTATAGAATTAATTAACTTTCATTTAATTCAGATGCATGCCTTTTCAAAACAGCATAAAAGCTGCAACTTTAAACCCACATTTGATTAATAAAAAAGCAAAATTACAAAGTTGCTTTGGGAATAACGACTTAAAGTGTGCCAGTGAAGTCAGTCGCTATCTACAAATGATGAACTTAATTCAAAGGTCAGGATACAAAAAATGAAAGCTATGTATACTTTTAAATAAGAACAGGTGCGGATTCTGACTGCAGCGCACCCGGCGCCCCATAAAAAAGAATCAAAATGTATTTTATATGTAAAATTACAGCCAATTTTTGTCAAAATATAGACCTTTAACGTCTTATTCCTAGGCGAACCCTAACATAAAATGAAGAAGAAAGCACCACATATATAACCATCCCTTGGTATACCCATTGTATACAGCAGAGGTGGACAAAACAAGGTTTTTACATTTTTACTAATTTAAGGTCCCACGCTGCCATTTAAATGGGTTTGTAGGTCTGTTTAAATAGCTAGATCACCAATGTTGATATAAATTTAGCATATTTAAAAACCCTAGATAATTTTTTGCATTACATAATATTAAGCTTGTGTAAAAGGGAAATTCCGGATTAGGTTGCGTCTTATCAAGTGTTAGTGTGACGAAATATTTAGGAAGCAATTGTTCTATTTATAACAAAACTTTAAAATTTGTTTAGATTTAAATTTTACCATATAAAGAGCGTTTGTGCCTGCATATAATTATTTAAGAAATTGCATATTTTATTAATAATAGATAATTGTACAGCATTCCAGGTTATTATAAATAAACACAAACTACCTAGAATGTTTTATGTTTAACCATACGAAAGACTTTTTACAGTTGAAAGGAGGAGACCATGATAAAGACGTTGTAATAAGTAAACATAAATGCACCTTTGTACTATTTTTTTAAAAACACAGTGACACTTTAAATACTAGAGCTAAGATGAGAAAATAAACAAAGCGACCAGATCTGAATACGCGGAACTGCATGATACCATAAAATGTCAAACTAGATGCAAAAGATTGAACATTTATTTTACTGGTTCTAATTCTTTATGTAAAGTTATAACGTAGTTAGAAATGTAAAAATGGATACAGTAATTAATTCTAAAATTTTGTTAATATCTAACCCCAAAACTGCTTCATTCTACAGGATGCAATTTCCATATGTATTTTACTCAGACAAAAAAAGGGATGCAATTGCATACAATCATTCTACTCCTCTCCATTGGTATGGGTCTGTACTTATATATATATATTTAAAACATTTATATATTAATGCAAGGTGATGCAGAGGTAACATCAGTGTGAAAGGTACCCAACTTCACTAGTTAACCAAAATAGACATAACGGCGTTATGTTGTCAGCAAACTGTATCATACCCCTAATCGTATTGTTTTATATGCACTGAAATGGGAATTTTACATTGGTTTTTTTTTTCAGTCAAGACAAACTATAGCTTGACGACAAAAAGAAATAAACGCGTTAATAAAGTATGTAACTTCACATTTTGTAAAGTTGAAACCCCTCAGCCAAAGTTGACCTTAGATAATGTTTAGCTATTCTGTTAAGGCCGTTTTAGTGTTCATTCTTATTTTTGGATTTCCGAACTTTTTGTGTCTAGCGTACCTGATGACGGTTAATTTATAAATATATCATTATGGTGTTTTGGTAAATAAAAATTACAAAGAAAAATATTTGCAAATGTAGACATCCTTTTCTGTTTTATTTAGTAACAAAAAAATTAATTTATGTTAACAGTACACATTTCAATACTTGATTAAGTTTAATTATTGCGATTTCAGAAAAATCTATATACAGATCTATTTTTTAGCTATCAAAATGAGAGTTCTTATTATTGCGATACTCACCTAGTCGCATTATTCGCATTAATAAAAACCTCGCAATAATTTCTGAATCTACAGTATTTGTTAAAAGAACCAAATTTATGAAAATTAGATAAGTTTTTGCAAGACTTCAAGATTTAGTCAAAAACTCAGACTGTGCATCATTAACATGACACAAAACATTACACAAATAAAAATATTAGACAATCAGCTGATATTGTGGTTAAATAAAATATTTTACCTTTAAAATAATTTAAATGCCTCGTGACGTTATCCTCACGACTGCATCAATACTTGCTAAGTGACATACTTTATGCTTTTAAATCATCTGGGGCCGAATTTATATTTTATACTGGGGAAAATCCAGGTGACGCTATTTACCGGGAATACCCTATACATAAATACCCGTAAGTTAAAGACGTGTACCTTAATCATGAATGCGTGTGCATTCTCTTAGGTAAACTACTAGTAGACTGTTGACAAAAAGTCAATACACATAAACAATACATTACTTATATTCAGTTCCTCATTGGATTGAAAAAACTTACAAACTTGTAGGAAATAGTACATACGATACCTATTCGATGAACTTTATGATTTAAAGCCGTTTATGGTGCTGACCTTGATATAATCTTAAGACAGAAATTGTTTGACAACAAATATTATCACTACTAAAAATATCCCTATTTCGGTGATTAACAGTCTTTCGGTTTCTTCGTTTGCGTGATATCTGACCAACTTTTATTTCAAAATTATCACACTTAAGAAATTATAACTTTCGTGAAATTAATGACATTATTAATGTGAAACTTAGCTTCATTTGATGTACACCATTACAAGTATGGGTCAAAGCACCTTAAACATTGAAATCACGAGTCGTACTGATAGTTGTTTGATTATAAATAGATACAAGAAATAAGCCATTAAATTAATATTTTAGCAAAACATGTTTCCAACCTTGAATGAAGTTGACTGTAATAGATTACCGTATACTAGTAGTATTCCTTTTATGCATGTAGACGTTAAACAAGCAATAATCAATCAATCAATCTATACATATTCTTACATAATCATTCAACGTCAGATACAAACATTGAAACAGTGAATATACACTGAGAAATTACTTGAATAATACCTGATTTCAGAAGTCACTAAACTACCAGAAGACTGAAAAACACTTTAAATATTAATAGCTCCTTTTGTTTACTACAAGAAACAATGTGTTACGCCTGATCAAAACAGACATATAAAAATGCCCTTTTCCTGTCGATTGGGTGACCATGATTTTAAAACCTGACAGTTCTAAAAGTTAAATACACGTAACATCTTTTACAACAAATTTTAAATATTGCGAATTCAAAAGCCTTTGCTATGTTTTATTGTTGTGAAAAGCGTGATGAAGTATAAAAGCCTTTGCAATGTTTTATTGTTGTGAAAAGCGTGATGAAGTATTTAATAGAATAGAATTTACATTTTGGAAAATTTCACGTAATCGCATGAAATGCATTAATAGGTGCATTTAATTGATTTAATTCAAACTGCAAACTCGTTCTAAGAATAAATGTAATCTAAGACATAAAAGTAGAGTATTTTTCCCAGATATGTGCAATATTTATTTCTAGTAACAGAAAAAATAACTGTTCATATTTCTAAGAAAAAAAGATAATAAAATGTAAATTTATATAATAAATCAAAGATATTGCTATCTAAAACTATGTGAAGTTTTTTAATCTATACTGTTCCAAAGAATAAAATCTATATGTTCTTGAATATTGCTTGTATCACGGATACTGACATAATTATGATTTTTTTTATGTAACTTGTTACTTATATACATAATTATTTGTTTTCTATTATAAACAACAATCCTATAATTAATGTATGAGACGGATATACATGTGCATGGCACTGAAGACTGCAGTATTAGGTAGAAAATATCTCAATCATCTCATTCTAAATATATTTTTTTAATTAAACAACGGGTGACACGGCTTATCTCCGGAGATGATTCCAACCTAATTTTTTCACATGTTATATATTTATGACTGGACTTTAATTTTTGATTCACGTCTGTCTAATAAAGTGTACTCGGTCCGTACTGGAATCAAAATAATTTTTAAAGTAAAAATTTACCGGTTAAAAATTTACCGAATAAGAAAGGGTGGGGAGGCGGGCTTAGTAAAATAACAAGTTAATAAAGACAACAGGATTCCCAAAGGCAAAACGACGAAATACCAACACCATTTGTTAAATAACATGGGGATCAGTAAAACAAGAGTAACGTAGGGTTTTGATTAATTATGAAATTAATATTACAAAATTAAAACCGAAGCTAATTAAATGTATCATGAGCTCATTTCAATGCGATTGGTCATACAAAAAACCCACAAAAAAAAAAGACAAATAAACTATTATAATGTCAAGTGTTACAAAAAAAAACACGAAACTATTTTAATGTTAAGTGTAATACATATATATTATAAAGTACAAAGAAGCTGTTGTAATGTCAAGTGTACAATATTATAAATTAAAAAAAAAAA